GATCGTCGTCCCCTATCGTCGTTCGATTTACGAGACGTCCGTACTCGCCAAGATTCAGGATGCTCATCTTGACTTTCGTTCTTGTTTCTCGTAAACTTCCTGATCGGTTTCGCCGAGGAGTCGGCGGAATACGGACATTGACGGTTCACTTATCTACAGCACGCTTCAAAACTGCATCGACTTTACAGCAATTGAATGATACAGATTTCGAAAGAGAAGAAAAAGGAAGTTTCGATCCACAGCTTTATATAGACGAAACAAAGATCTCGCCAGACTTCCAATGGAGATTTCGATTTGGAAAATATGAAGTTCAACAATTTTAGTAAATATTGATAGGTATTATTTCCTTCGATAAGTTGGTATTAAGTATGAACTGTGTTAAGTTATAAATTTGGTAAACCATGTTTAAAGCAAATCTCGAGTCAAAACGAATAGCATTTATTTCTTCTTTGTAACAACGATGTACACAGTTTTAATTAGTTTAATGATCATTCGGTTTCACGAGGTCACCGGAACGTTGTCTTGCGGAGTATTTTCGGTGTTAGACAAATAAATCACGAGTATTTACGAGGGTTTCACGCGGACGTTATATCTCATCTCGAAAACGCTATTGCAGATTTTTGAGAGTCGCTGTACCTTAAGAGAGCGGCTCGACTTTTTTACGATGCAATATTCGCTCCCGTTGAAGTGCGGCATCGTTTACACCGTGGCCCCCTCGGTCCGTTCGCTGTAAACGCGTCCGTAACTTCAAACACGCTCAACATTTTCACCCGTTTAACGTTCGCCCCGTGCAATTACTTTCCTTGATAACTTTCATCCGCGATAAGCGGAGGACGCCGAGAAAGCAGATTAACCTTCCGAAGGTTGCGTAACAAGGATCCGATTTCTACCCGAGGAATCCGCGACAAAAATTCGCTTCTGTCGGATAGAACGGGCTCAGTCTATCCCTCGGCTGTTTTACCCGATTAACTTCGATCCAGCGCGATCCACTTTCCTCCAATTAGTTACATAATTTCAACACCCGTATCTATGTTTAATTCGATTAACAGCAGCCTCGTTCCCGCATCGATCGTTCCTCTGATCACTGCTCCGCCCGTTATAGACCTGTCGCTTTCGCCAGGATTAACACGCGGGACTTCATCAATCTTTAAAACATTCCTTGTCAACAAGGAATTCAACGGACACCCATCGTTCTACGCTATTACCGAGAAACCTATTATTAACACGGTCGTTCACTGAATCAGCGATCAGCTGCTAAATCAGGCAAAAAACCATCCCCGCCATTCCTTCGTCACAATAGAAGCGAAACGATCATCTCTTACATCCAGGCAAAAACTTGAAATTCAATGTAGTCACCGCGCCTATCGCATCAATCGCATCATTCCCAATTTTCAACGCCTAATCCCCTTCAACCTCAACCCCAAATCAACCGATCAAATCAATCGCTCCATCAGAATAACACTTACGAACCATTAAACCCATACAAACCCGAAAAACACTTAGAGCAACAGCGATAAGAAACAATATCAATTCGAAAGAATTCAAGCTAAAACGGACAGGGTTCAGTACCAATACACCCACGGCAATCGTACACACTATCGCTTCGAACAATTTCTGTCGTAATCGCTATAATCCCTGCCGCGAACCGACCGGTCGTATTGGTTCGATAACGCGACGACAGCCGTCCCGCGTAGGCGTCGCGTCGCGTCGCGTCGCTTCCAGGAGCCGCCGCCGCGCGCGAATCGATTCTTTTTCCTGGAAATTAAATCGTCCCGGGGCGGGGGCGGCGAGAGCAATTGCTCGATAAAGAAAGACTGCGGAGGCGCCCAGCCGGACCAGGCTCGGACGGACGGCCAGACGAACGAACGGGCGCAATGGTTATCGGACGCGTCCGGAGAGATAACCGGGGCCGGCTTGCGGCCGTCGCGCCGCGCGGCGTTCGGGGAAACACGATTAGCACCGTTCCTCGAACGAATTTCTGCCGTTTCACGGTATCTCGCGTGCCTCCTGCCGCGCGACGACTAATTACCCTCTCACGCTCGTCCCAGTTTGCGGCCGGCGACGACGACTCGCCGCTCCTTTCCTCGCCGCGGCGCGCGAACCGGAGTTTTCGTTCGACGAAGCTGCCACGGTCTCGCCGGCTGACCGATGGAGCATGTTTGTGTGCACAGCGGAACTCCATTTATTTGAACCCTATCCGCCTCGCGGTCCATTCATCCGGGGGCTATTTATTTGAACTACATTTATCCGAACTCTATTGAAGCTTGAACCTCTATCGGGAGTCCATTTATTCAAGCGCCGCAGCTCCGGACGTCGTTTATTCGAACTCCGTTTATCGGAACTTTATTTTTACGCGAGATTCAGTGAACCGTCGCTGAGTTCCTATTATCTGAATGAATGATGGACGTTACGGAAATTATAGGGACCGTTCGTGGATTCTAGTAAATTACTCGAGCAAAATGCTGCGCTGGATTACTGTTCTTGAGAGTTATTTCCAGATTTATGGAGTTCGAGGGCGCTGTAATTCGAGGCACTGTGTAGCTCCGATGACGGATTCGATGCTTCTGTCGATGAAGACGTTTACTTTACGCCGTGAACAATCGAGCGGGAAGCATCGATGAAGTGTGAGATTTATGCGTGACGCGCAGGTGGATCGTGGGACTGCTCGCGTGGAATGTGTAACGTTACGACTGCCACACGCGAGTCCTCGTATTTTAATGTACCGCGTAGCTTCCAGCGTAATGGTCGATAAAAAGTAATCGTTGACGAAGAATCTGGAATTGGAGATTAGCACTGCCGAGCTAACTCTCAGTCTCCACTCGATTCGATAGATAAAATTCAGAAAGTCGTATATAATATTAATCTTCATACATGAATCGCTGCGAAAGTTTCGGGAATCCACTGTCACTCACTCTGTCATTTTCGTAAAGCTTCGCATTTCTACAAACTGCAAACCCGACATAATGGAAAATATGTCGATATGGAGGTAGAGTATTTTGAACAACAATAATTACTACAATCTTATATTTATGACTTCTCTCATTCTTTCCCAAATGTCCCAGCAACCCAAATGTAACATCAATGCATAAAATATCGAAATAAATCTCCTTACATGTATTATGACATCGTTAAAACTAAAAGATGCAACAATTAATTCAATTTAAGAGAAATTAATTCATCGCTAATTTTATATTAACAATACACTTAGCGATCTTTACATGTATTATGACATCGTTGAAACTAATTCATATATCCGCGATACAAATATTTCATTCATTTCATCCTCATCAAGAATTATTCTCAGTTAAACATTAATTCCTTCGCTAAAAATATTCAATATTCTCCGATGAGATACAGACGATGTTCTTCGAAACTAATTAACGAGAGAACATACATAAATTAAGAAGGAAAGTTATTTTATCTCAATATCCACATATTGAAGCATCATGCAAAGCTTAATATTATACACAAGACTTTATAATTTCGCAAATCAAATCAAGTGGTGACTGAGAGTCACCCCTCGAGTACAAAGTATTAACAGAACAACCCCTCAAATTTCAAACGAGCGAACCAACGTTGAAAATCCGGAGCGAAAAACCAGAAACAACGTTCCCATCCGCGAGAAAGGTTTCTCTAGCGAGCACGGCTCTCGAAACCGCTCGCGGCGGTCTAGTTTTGCTCGCCGCGTTTTTCATCCCCGCCGATTCCTATCCGAGGCCCGTTTATCACCCTCTCGCGCGTCTTTTCGCCCCTCGTTACAGGCATCCGTCTCTGTCGCGGCCGCGACAGCCTCGTTTCCCCGCAATTTCCATCGGCTTCCGGGGGCCGACTTCATCCGCCGCGCGGGGCATTATTCTTCCCCTCGCGGAATAGCCTTTTTTCGGGCTCGCGAGCCTCGCCCGTTACCAGATAAATTTCCCTTTGACGGCCAGGCCCGCGGAAATGGCCTCTGAAAAGCGGAGGATCCGCGGAAACGTTCGCGGTCCAGTTACGTTTCAAAAATCAGACACTTTTAGAACATTCAAGGGTCGCTCCGCTGCAACGGAAATTCATCTTTACGCTCGCTCGCTCGTTCGCTGCTGCCTCCCGGATTTTTCACGGACGCGTCACGGTGCCAGAATTCTTTGCAGGAATTGTTCTTACGCAAATGTTCCGCGATTTTTGTGCGCCGTTCTCTTGAATGTTTCAAGGAATGCTCCGGCGAAGAATTTAATGAATGTCGGCCGTTCGTTTCGATGGAGAGACTTCGGTTGAATTCGAATGGTAGTTTTTAAATCTTCGCACTCGAGAGGTGACCCGCAGTTATTTAGTTCGATGCAGCAAAATCGTGGGATTCGATATGCAACCCTTTGCACTCCAGAAGTTTTTCACCGGAAATATTCAATATTTTCTAATGAGATGCAGATGACATTTTCTCAGATTGAATTAAGAAATGCATTGAGGAAGAACTTCTCTCAATATTACGTGCATCGATGCATTATATAAAGTTTAATATTAAATATCGTTTACAGTTTTCTTGTGTAAGTCATTTGACTTAGAGACGCCTCTGGAGTGCAAAGGGTTAAGCTCTGCACAACGCGTCGATATATGAAACATTAAAATGAGCTTCGTTTCTCGACTCTGTATTTCTCATTAATTGATTTCAAAAAATGTCTCTGATTGCGTTGAATGTTTCTAGTGAAAAACCTTCGAGCGCAAAGGGTTAATCTTTGACAGTGAGGGAGTTTAAGGAATGCAAATGTCGTTTGAACGTTTGTCAAGAGTTTCGGGAATTTCTTTTTCGACGTCTCCACCGTGACAATAAGAGCAGATTTAATGCTATTCCGTAATTCCTAGGTTTCAATGTCTCGCAGTTGTAGCTTCGATAGAATAAAAATCTTTATCGCGAATGCCACGAGGTATGCGCTTTCGATCAAGACCGGGGCATAAACCAGAATTTCCCGGAAACGCGAACCGTGTTCGCCCGATCGCACGGACGGCGAATATAGGAGGGAACTCACCGAGAACCGCGAGAGTGATGTCTCCTTCGAGGATGGTGGTGTCGTTCCTGGCCCGACAGGAATACCTGCCGGCATCCGAGGCCCTCACCTTCTGCGTGTAAATCGTCTGGTTCGCGCTCTCCGGGTACAGGATGAAGTGGCTCTCGCCGCCTGGCCAAGGATAAGCTCTGTTGTCCTTGTACCTGGAACAATAGCGAGTTACCTGTTAGAAGCAGAGCCTCGACGTTGATCCTCAAAAAATTCAATTCCAAGAGAACATTCGACGTTCCGTCTGCAACTCAACGCTAAAACTACCGAGCAATCGGAGTGACTTCCTAAGTTTCAACCAAAATTAGAATATATTCCTCGAGATTCGATGGGTTTATTGTATCTGTAAATACACAAATTTATTCTGCAATCCTTCGCAGAAGCTTTGTCAGAATTTACGCACTTGCAAACTAAACGTTCTAAAATGAGCCTATTCGACTAGTTTTAGTGTTAATATTAATTTTAAGTGTAAATGAAAGTGTCTACACTTTTCGATAATTGTACATTGTCTTAAGTGGTCATTTAAAATCTATTTCGAAAGAAGTTAGCTATGATAGGAAACATGTCTATTCTTTTTACTAATATAATTAAAAATTGTCGTTTAAATCAATCTAAAGATACTGGAATGGATCAATTTCACTCGTTCGGTAGTTTTAGCGTTAATATTAATTTTCAGTGTAAATGAAAGTGTCTACACTTCCTTTTCGATAATTTCACATTGTCTTAAGTGGTTCATTTAAAATCTGTTTCGAAAGAAGTTAGCTATGATAGGAAACATGTCTATTCTTTTTACTAATATAATCAAAAATTGTCATTTAAATCAATCTAAAGATACTGGAATGGATTGACTCGTTCGGTAGTTTTAGCGTTAATTGCGCTGCAATCGATATTTATACTCTCACCCTACCAGGAATGCATAAAATATCAGGAGAATAAAGTTCATAATAATCCGATCTCGGCAGATTATAATAGAAATTTGCGCGAACTCCCAGGATCCGCGATACATCCATCGACGCATCCACTCGTTCCCCTCTTATCTTCAACCAACAGAAGCTCGAACCGTGGAAACAGAAGCTGCATTATACTTCAGCGGCTCCGGGTTCGCCTATACAAACGCAAATTTCCGCACACATCCGGATAACAGAGTCACACACTCCGCATCCCCGGAACTCGATTCGCGTTGCATATAATCCTAACGCCGATGGTTGCCAGGATTCGCGGGAAGCCCCGAGTGGAATAGCAACCAGTCCGCCGTTCGCCCCATTTTTCCCGGCAGCCTGTTGTTGCGCCTAGGCTCGGCGAACATCTCCGCCGGCGAGCCAAGTGTTTTCGAGCCGTTAATTCCGCGCGGTTCACGCTCGATTGGTTTTCGAGGGCGTCGCGAGACGGGCTCGTCGAAGCCTGAGCAACGTGGCCGCGGCTCGTCGCCTCCGCAAACTTAACACCTTACATACTGGACGACTATTAATAGATCGATCGGCGGTTATCTTACGCTAAAATACGGCTTACCGATTTTCTTTGAATAATAGACCCAAAGACACGGGATTAACAACGCCGGAGCGCCGAGTTGTAATTACCGTTGCTGTCGAAAGATTTATTGAGACATCCTACGGCAACGAAGTTCGACGTTAACTGATTATTAGCCATCGATTAATCGATTATCCCAGGATTGATGGGCGTTTTAATAGACTTCGATAAACTGTTCGATAACGGCCGGCACGTGACGCGTTAACATCGCGATTGACAGTAGAATTACTGAGCGATCGAGTCGACTTTTCGAAATTTCTCTATGGAAACCCTGAGAGTATTTATAATTTCGATTGACTAATGATTCGGAATCTTCATTTTGCTAGTACTTCTATTACGAAGGCGTTTTTGCGAAAGATTTTCAATGAAATCCGTGTATTTAGACTTCGAATCTCAAGAAACTGTTCTAATTTTTATAAAGAGGAAATAAGTTACTCTGCTCGCTCGGTTTTGGCGCTAAATCGATTGCTTCAGCAATTTCTCAGAGAAGCGTCAATCTCAATGATCGCGAGGGGATTCAGAATCTTTATTTTGCTAGTATCTCTATTACGAAGGCGTTTTTGCGAAAGATTTTCAATGAAATCCGTGTATTTAGACTTCGAATCTCAAGAAACTATTCTAATTTTTATAAAAAGGAAGTCACTCTGTTTGCTCGGTGGTTTTGGCGCTAAATCGATTGCTTTAGCAATTTCTCAGAGAAGCGTCAATTTCAATGATCGCGAGGGGATTCAGAAATCCGGTGGTTCTTGCGCTAAACAAATGACACGTTTCCGTCCACCTAAGAACGCTCCTCTAACTTCGCCTCGTTGTTCCTCCCCCGGAAGCGTTCTCCGCTCGACGACGATCAAGAAGCGGACTCTTCGGCCGCGGAGGACCCTCCTCCTCGAGCCTCTCCCTTGTTCCCGGCGAGGACAAAGGCGGCCGTTCGCCACCCGGCTCGTTCACCTGTCTTCCGAGAAGCCTTTATTTGCGTTCGACGACGTTAACCTGCGCTCGCGAGCTTCCTCCCGCGCGGATACGCACGCGTGCGTATATATATTACGCGGAACGGATTATAGGAGGAACGGGAGGCTCTCTAGGAATCCTCTTTCGCCTGACGGAAGGGAACGAGCGTCTCGTCTCAAAGCTATGATGATTCTACGTGTATTTACTGATACGGGATTGCGTGTAGGTGGTACCTTGTTAAGAGGATCTTTTCGTCTTTGATTCCTTTGCGGATAAAGACACTTTTTCCTCTTAGCGAACGACGGAGGAGCCATTCATGTCCTTTGCCAGTAACTGGAATATTCAAGGTACTTTAGAGTCTTTAGCGTATTTTCTATTGTCCTCTTATACTTTTCTGTAATACTTTCCGCTACTTTTAAGCTGATCACTGAAAAACATTCGAGAAACCAGTAAAAACTTCTATGATAGCAAGTAAATCCAATCGTTAAATCTAGAAATTAAAGATCCCATATGAAACAAGATTCTTGACTACAAACATCCCTAAAATCTGCAATGAAGAACCATTATACAAATTCATCGCCATCATCAACCTAACCTCTATGATAGCAAGCAGTAAATCCAATCATTAAATCTAGAAATTGAAGATCCCATATGAAACAAGATTCTTGACTACAAACATCCCTAAAATCTGCAATGAAGAACCATTATACAAATTCATCGCCATCATCAACCTAACCTCTATGATAGCAAGCAGTAAATCCAATCATTAAATCTAGAAATTAAAGATCCCATATGAAACAAGATTCTCGACTACAAACATCCCTAAAATCTGCAATGAACAACTATTATACAAATTCATCGCCATCATCGTTATCATACAATTATCTGGTTAACGCTAAAAGAATACCATCGACCGTTATCGTTTCACGGGAACAAAAAGCGACAGCGAACCCTCGGAACATCGAAACAGCTAGACCCAGAGAGCACCGGTGTTTCGTTCACTCTTGTCCGGATTGGTCTATCGGAATGAGCTTTGGGCCACTGTCAGAGGCGGGTTGCCGCGCTGCGAGATCCACTGTTCTGGGGTCGCGACAGACGAACCGGTTACCCGCCGGGGAAATTGCGGGGCGAGAAACGGCGGATAGGACACGTCGATTACGCAGCCGGCTCGGATCGATTTCGCGTCCGACAGGCTTCCACTTTTTCTGTTCGCGGAACCGATTACCGGGGGAAAAGCGGCGCAACGCGCGGTATCGCCACGTGCGACATTTCCACGAGCCCGGCCGGCTGTCGTGTTCCGCAATAGCGCCGTTGCGTCCTGTCGCCGTGTCCGCCGGCTTCTAGGAAAGTTCATCGGCACCGCTGCCAACGCGAATCGATTCGCTCTGTCCTTCTTCGATCGAGCGCGGCCTCTCTTCTTGCATAACCGACGGTTATTGTCATTTTTCCGGTGACCACCTCGCTGCCCCGCGACTCGCGTGCAAGTCCAAGGACAGATCCGGGGGGATGGAACTGGAAATTGCGGGATGCGGGAGATTGCCTGCGATTCGCGAGACATCAAGAATTGGAACATCAAGTTACAATTAAAATAATACGAGAATGTAAAAGCGATATCTCCATTTGAACAGATACTGGTAAAATTTAGTAACAGAATTATAATCGTGATCGCGATTATAATCCAAAGTCAAATTCTTACTTTTACGTCTAACTTCAACCCTTCACGGACGAATGTCATTTCGGCGGGATGAAATTTCCATCCTCGAAGGACTAAGTCGCGAACGAATGATTTCATTACTCAAACAGCAAGCGATCTGCGCGTAGTTCCTTTCTCTATTGTTCTTTTCGATTGATACGTAATTTCGCTTCATCCACCGAAGGTTTTGTATAAGGTGGAGTGGGTAAGTGCACCCCAGTTTTTAGTAAGTTTGACTTTCAACCCATATATCTTTAATTTGTTTCATAATACTTTAAGATTTATTGAAATCAACGAATACTTGAGTTAATACGCTTTAAATAACATTGACAGAAACGCCGATTTCACTTGTATATTTTAATTGTTTAAGAAAATTGTAAGAAATCCAACAACTGTGCACTTTCCCCGAAAATGAGGCATGTGCACAACATTTTCTGTGAAACCCGGTCGAAAAGTGCCAAGCGCGATGGCGGTTCTTTCGTTTCAATTCAGAAACAGAATTACGCTTCTCTGTTGTTACGCAAAGAAATTCTGAAGCATGCGAACGTTTCGTTTTCTGATTTTCAAGCTGGCAATGACAGAAATGAAAATAAATAATTGCAAGGGAAATAAATGAACTGGCACTTTTAGGTAGGTTAACAAGCAATAGAAAGGTAACACGAGGTTCGTTTGACTTTCATCGAAGTTTCTCAACCAGTTAACCGTGAAATTTCCTTGGAAAAACCTCTCGTTCTGCGCGCAATAAAATAAAAAAATGGTGTGTGTACTCATCGAACGCAGGGCGAATGCGCGTAGAGAACATTTTAACGAAAGATCAAAGCGAAATAAAGAAGAATTACATGTTTACGTGAAAAAATAAAGAATTCATGAAAGAATTAGTCTCTAGAATCATGTCAAGCTTTACCATGACGCGTATACTCGTCAAAGACAGTTAACCGGTTAAATAATTATCAAGTTTACCACGTATACTGTAAACGTTACAAATTCTCG